GGGTCGGCCCGGTCTCTGTTTCAATTAATCCCATATGTTATGTTGTTCACTTTACGCGGGCAACCGTGGGTTCAATTGACCGCGTAAAGTGAGGGTTCACTGTAGTACATTTATAATAATAAAATTTTCAACTGTATTTTTGGGTAGATTTTCATAAATTTCTTCATTTATTTTCATCCATTTACATGCACACACCATACTAAAAGAAACGTAAAAGAAATAAATGACCTTAGTGCAAAGCTGGAGGCACATGTACTAATTTGATTACGGTACTAAAATTGTTATGTCTAGTGCGAATTACAACATGTTTACAGTGAACCCTCACTTTACGCGGTCAATTGAACCCACGGAGGCCCGCGTAAAGCGAGAAACGCGTAAAGTGAACAACATAACATATGGGATTAAATGAAATAGAGACCAGCTGACCCCCAAACTCCACTTTTTCCGACACAATACCTATGTTCTAGTAAAAATAACATCTTAATTTTATGATGGTACAGGCACACAATTAATACTTAAGAGAAATAGAGAAATACAGTCGCCAAGTTAATGTCCATTCAAATAATGGACTCAACTCCCTCCCCCTCTTCTCACACTCCTGGCTCTTCCCTCTCTGAGAAATGTTTGGGGGAAAAACCACTAGATTTTAAGGTATAGTAATAAATAATACCTCAAACTAAAGTTAGGATAATATAATTGACATTGCTGGATTCCTTGTAAGACCAGGAATATTTTGAATATAAATGTCATATATTTTGCACAAAAGATAACATATTTACTCAGAGTAAACAAAATACTTAAAGTAGATCTAAAATTTGTATGTCTAATGCAAAATCTATGATGTTTATATTCAAAATGATCATCAAATTGTAAGAATTCCAGCAATGTAAATTATATTCTGGCCCGGTAATTTGTATGAATTTTATGAGCTAAAACAAATATCTTCAATAAATAAACAAAATATACTTACCGAAATACTATCTGTCAATCAAAATACCCCACCTCCCCCCCTCTTCCCACCTGCTCCCTGGGTCCCTCCCTCCCTCCCTACCCCTCACCCCCACCTTCCTCCCTACCAGAGAAATGATTGGGTTATAACAGTATATTTACATTTTTAGTAATAAATAATACCTCAGACTAAAGTTAGGATAATATAATTGACATTGCTGGATTCCTTGCAAGACCAGGAATATTTTGAATATACACATCATATATTTTGCACAAAAGATAACATATTTGCTCTGAGTAAACAAAATACTTGCATTAGATCTAAAATTTGTATGTCTAATGCAAAATCTATGATGCTTATATTCAAAATGATCATCAAAAAAAAAAAAATATATATATATATATATATAGATATAGATATAGATATATATATATATATATATATATATATATATATATATATATATATATATATATATATATATATATATATATATATATATATATATATATATATATATATATATATACAGTATTACCCCGCTTAACGCGCTTTCACTTAACGCGTTTTCGCATATACGCGGTGCCTTGCCAAAGCTGAACTTTCACTTAACGCGGCATTTTTCATCATATACGCGGTGAGTGTCCGGCTCGAGAGCTATTTTTAGATTCGCACCACCCCCCACCCGCCACCCTGCCTGACTGCCTGTTTTAGCTCATAAAATTCATACAAATTACCCAGCCAGAATATAATTTACATTGCTGGAATTCTTATAATTTGGTGATCATTTTGAATATAAACAACATATATTTTGCATTAAACATACAATTTTTAGATAAAAATTGTTCTCTAGGTAATTATGTTATCTTTTGTCCAAAATATATGACATTTATATTCAAAATATTCCTGGTCTTACAAGGAATCCAGCAATGTCAATTATATTATCCTAACTTTAGTTTGAGGTATTATTTATTAAAATTTAGTGGTTATCCCACACATCTCCTTGGGACGGTTGGTGGGGGGTGGGGGGGAGGGAGGGACCGACCGACCGACCATCTGTTACCCAGTGAAGAATTATTTTTTTTTTTATTAACTGAAGATATTTGTTTTAGCTCATAAAATTCATACAAATTACCCGGTCAGAATATAATTTACATTGCTGGAATTCTTATAATTTGGTGATCATTTTGAATATAAACAACATATATTTTGCATTAAACATACAATTTTTAGATAAAAATTGTTCTCTAGGTAATTATGTTATCTTTTGTCCAAAATATATGACATTTATATTCAAAATATTCCTGGTCTTACAAGGAATCCAGCAATGTCAATTATATTATCCTAACTTTAATCTGAGGTATTATTTAATACTAAATGTTAAAAACTCTTGAATGGAGGATTGGTGGGGGGTGGGGGGAGGGTTGGGACTGACCACGCGGTTGGAAGAGGGGGGGAAGGCAAGGTGGGGTACTTTGATTGACAGATAGTGTCGAAGAATATTTTTTTTTTTTTATTAACTGAAGATATTTGTTTTAGCTCATAAAATTCATACAAATTATCCGGCCAGAATATAATTTACATTGCTGGAATTCTTACAATTTGCTGATCATTTTGAATATAAACAACATATATTTTGCATTAAACATACAATTTTTAGATAAAAATTGTTCTCTAGGTAATTATGTTATCTTTTGTCCAAAATATATGACATTTATATTCAAAATATTCCTGGTCTTACAAGGAATCCAGCAATGTCAATTATATTATCCTAACTTTAGTTTGAGGAATTATTTATTACTATACCTGGTTTTCCCCCAAAAATTTCTCAGAGGGAAGAGCCAGTGAGTGTAGTGTGAGAAGAGGGGGAGGGAGTTGAGTCCATTATTTGAATGGACATTAACTTGGCGACTGTATTTCTCTATTTCTCTTAAGTATTAATTGTGTGCATGTACCATCATAAAATTAAGATGTTATTTTTACTACAACATAGTTATTTGTCGTCAAAAAGTGGAGTTTGGGGGTCGGGCTGGGTTCTATTGGAATTAATCCCATATGTTCTGTTATTCACTTAACGCGGTTTTCACTTAACGCGGGACCCTCTGGGTTCAATTGACCGCGTTAAGTGGGGTACAACTGTATATATATATATATATATATATATATATATATATATATATATATATATATATATATATATATATATATATATATACACAGTGGTCCCTCGGTTAACAAACTCAATTCGTTCCAGAGGGTCGTTCGTTAAACGGAAATTTCGTTAACCAAAACCATTGTTTCAATGGGATATTGGGTAATTGGTTCCAGCTCACAGAAAAGTATATACAAAGTAAAGCCAAAAATGCATAAAGTCAGAAACACTCCTAAAATTCCCCTAAATCGCCCTTAAATCACTATATATATCGTACATATACACTAGAACTCTTAAATCACTACTGTAATGTGATACAGGTGAATAATTTTTATCTCTTGTGCAAATTATATGACATTTGTATTCAAATTATTGGCTGTCTTGCAAGGATTCCAGCAATGCAAATTATATTCTCCTAACTTTAGTCTGAGATATTATATAAGATAAAAACTGTACGCCTAAAACCCTGGCTGGGCAGATGGGGGAGAGGGAGGGAGGGAGCCTGGGGGGGGGGGGCAGAGCGAGAGATGAGGAGATATGTTTTGACAGTTGGCGCTGAAGGTCTGTGTGTTTATTTATCAGTCCTTAAGAGTGACTAAGCTTTTCTCTTATAATTTGCCAACCAAACAACCTGTGAGAATATACTTTACATTGCTGGGATTCTTGTAAGATAGTGATTAATTTGAATATAAACAAGCTATATTTGCAATAGACATAACAATTTTAGTACCGTAATCTATTAGTACATGTACAGTACAGGTTTGCACTCGTCATTTATTTCTTTTGCGTTTCTTTTAGTATGGTGTGTGCATGTAAATGGATGAAAATAAATGAAGTGGTCCCTTGTTAACCAAGGGACCACTGTATTGCAGTGTACTTGTACTGTACAATACTTTTTACTACAACGTACATATTGTGTCGGAAAAAGCGTAGTCTGGGGGTCGGCCCAGTCACTATTTCAATTAATCCCATATGTTCTGTTATTTCGTTTACGCGCTTCTCGTTTTACGCGGACCTCCATGGGTTTAATTGACCGCGTAAACCGAGACTATACTGTAGTCCAGTATGTGACGTCGACGACCCACCCATCTCCACCCCTCGAGATTTGACATTTGTTTACTGCTCGCTCTAAGGCAAGAGATGATGGTGGTAGTGCGTGTGATGGAGGGTGCGGGAGGGGTTTTGAGAATTGCAATTAAATGCCAGGTAGCGACGTGTCCTCCTAATATTATGTATTAAGTAATTATTAGATGTTTTAATTGCCTGTATGTTGGCCTGACGAGTTATTGCTAGGCATTTACATACCTAGGTATAAAGCTAGATGTCGCATTCTGGACTATATATCACAAAAACTGGTTTTTACAAAAAAAAATGGCTTTTTTACTTGATTAAATTTTCAGTTGTGATGGACAAAACTGCTTATTGAGTTAGGTAGAGCTTAAGGATATACTAGGGTTCCAACATATGGACTTAAGGTTGTAATATGTGAGTCACTTAAGGAGGGTGTTTGGCCATATATGCACTGTAGCCAGCAGAGACAAAGGTGTGTACTACAGGGGCAGATCCAAGGGGGGGGTCCTGGGGGTCCGGAGTCCCCTTCTCATCAGAAAAATCCAAAACCTTTTCTTTAATGCAGTATTGTACTGAAGCATTTTTGTATAGTAAAAAGAAATTACTATTGATCTCAAAATATCTCCTAATATTAAGTGCACAAGGCCTCAAAATGACCAAGAAATTGGTGAGTTAACTGTGCTCGCCATGTTCCCCCACCCACAACTTCTTGGACCTCACCCCTTTTGATATTCCTAGAACAACCACTGTACTGTACTTAATAATAGCAAGTATTTTACCAAAGTAATATCTATTTGATTGACAAGACAATAATAAGTTGTAAAGTACCTGTAGAGCAAACTGATCAGCCCGTTCCTCTCGCTCCACAATCCTCAGTGCTGTGACAATCTGTGTGGGTTCTTTCCGTACTGTGTTGAGTGTGCGCTGAAGAATGATCCAAACTTGTTTGCCTTTAGAAAATAAAAGTAAAACTCTTATATTATGATAAACATGAACATAATTTATCTATGACTGTTGTCTATGGTATTAGACTAAAGGTCTATGATATCATCATTAACCACTGTATGGGATCCCTTCTGTGCTGAATAAAATCGTCTGGCGTTAGATAAATAAAATATTAAAAGTGGCATCCCCATACTGAAGTGGTTAATTGGGATTGAGAA